GAGAGAGAGAGAGATCCGAGCAACACTTTTTTGATTACAAAATATTTAGAATGTCCGTTATTCCATTATTTTAATTTCATCCCGATCGATTTCTCAAAGTTTTCACTTTTGTATATGTAAAAATTTGCGCATAAACAGTCCATTATTTTAACATCCCTGAAATTTTGAGAATCGATTTCTTAAAATAAAAGTTTTCATTCTTGTATATATGCACGAATGTTTCTTTCCAAATACAACTGAATTTTGTGAAAATTTGCACACAAATAATCCGTTATTCCATTATTTCAACATTCTTGAAATTTTGAGAATCGATTTCTCAAAATAAAAGTTTTCATTCTCGCACATATACATACGAATGTTTCTTTCAATACAATTGAACAAAAATTTGCACACAAATATTCCATTATTTTAACATCCCTGAAATTTTGAGATTCGATTTCTCAAAATAAGTTTTCATTCTCGCACATATACATACGAATGTTTCTTTCAATACAACTGAACAAAATTTTGCGCACAAATAAATCAATTTCTCCGCAGAATTAAACGAATTCTTTTCTCTCCCTCGGATTGATATTCCACCGCGGGAGACGCGAACGCAAACCGTGTCTTTCCTCTGCTCTGCGTCAATCCGTCAATTACGAATACATGTTTCCTCTCCTATTGGAAACGAATAAAAGTCGCGATGAAAAATCCGTGCTCGAAACCGATGCAGAGAAACACGATCCAGGGAAGGAGGGGCGAGATGTATAATTAAAATCGTAACGTAACTCCATTAAGTCCCGCACGAAACGCAATTATCCCCCGTGACGCGCGTAATCATTCTCACTTAAATCACCGGTTATACACGGGCGAAAATTTTAATCCGGATCCATTGATTTCTATCTAGAATTTTGTAACTTTGCCGCCCCGTGTAATTCAAGTAGTCAACCGTCCATTCGAGTCCTTCCGTCTTTAATAATAAATTTCCTTCAAAATCGCGATCCCATTCCGGAAATAACTCATGGATACTTGTCGATACGATAATTAATATCGTTGTTCCACGATAATTTTTTTGCTTGATGATTAATTTCATTTATTTAATTGTTATTAGAAGAATTAATTTTTCTTTATATACGGGATCATTCCGTTTTTTCAAGCTTCGTCCGATTACAAATATTCAATGTTTACTAAATGCACGAAACGTTGATACATAATTATAAGTTGTAACGACGAATAATTGTTATTTTAATGATTTTTAATTTTCTTAATTTCAACTCCGGGGAACCGGGGAAGATTATTCCGGTTGGATAGTTTTTAATTTAAATTGTTCTTCGTACGTACACGGTTAAGATCGCGATTCACTGCTGGATATAATGCATAGTAGACGATTTTTCCTATCCTATATTTCAGTTCAATGAGGATGGATTATTAACCCGTTATCCGAATCCATCATTGCGAGTTAAAGCAAACCGATTAAAAATAAAAATAAAAACAATTTTATTAATCTTACTCGTTTCTTATATTCGACCGTGAATTGCCCAACGATAAATGAATGCTCGGTCGATTGAAAAACTTCATTTCAAAACGAAAAAGAAACAGTGCGTTACATTCTCGGCTCTTCTCTTTTCTTCCTTCACGTTATCATTCCTCCCTAATTCTGGCAAATTAATCTCCCCCAAAAACGCATCTCTCCGTAATTCTCGATTCTCCCTGTTCCCCGTTTTCTCGAGAGACTTCTCTTCACATCCTCGGCCACATCCACACACCACTCACCCCAAGAAGGAAGAGAAGCTTTAAAGGTTACACCGTTGGCCAAGAATACAAGAGGAACGAATGGGGAGGAGCGAATGGAAAAAGGGGGAGGGGGGAGGAAGGGGAAGAACTTCTTTGTAACGAAGTTAATGAAGCGGCCGGTATACACAGAGGCGTTACCCGCGCGGTGTTTCGCAGTTTCGAGGCCGCGTACAAAGCGTTAATTTCGCGTCGGAGGCACGGAAAGAGCGGGCCAGATGAGCAGCACGGTCAAGGCTTTACTAAATTTCTCCCACGATACCTAAATTACCTACCTCCCCACGCGGCCTCCATCTTCAACTATGGGGCTACTCTCGTCCTTTCCCATTTCGCGGCAACCGTTTCCTTCTCCACAGCGTTCTAATTAGTACGCCATCGTCAATGGAGCCAACGGATTTGTGAAATCTCCGCCTAATCTCCGACGAAAAGTTGTCGAACAAAATCGAACAACGAGCAAAATTTTAATTAATCTCCCATAAATCGTAGCACGTGGACGAATTTTGAACTCGAGATGTATGAGAAAAGGTGTCTCAGGTTATGCACAAAGTAGCTTGCTACAGAAAGAAAAGGAAGAGATCAATTTTTTTTAAAACTAGTCACGCTTCTTCAATGACAACGGTAGAAGAAATCCTATCTATACCATCCAAAATTACCATCGAACTTAACGCCAAATCCACGAAGATAAGCTCGACTGTTCCTGCGAAACACCCTTCAAACTGTTCTTCACCCACCCCTACGACGAGAACAACGTCGTTTCACAGGTTGGCGACACGAGTCCTCCGCGAATTCTCCTCCCCTCCTCCATCCCGACTTAGGGCTAATTATCGAGGCGGTGGAAACACGTTGGCCAGGCTGACACCCCTTGACACCTCTTGGTAATTTCTTCGCGGCGTAACGAGGAGGAGAAGGACGTGGTGTTTCGAGAGGTTGGAGCAAGAAAGGGCGCCAACTCTCCCTCTTCTCTTCACCCCCTTCGCCAGATAATTGATTAGGCGTTTAATTGGACGGAATAGCGGGGCCAGACACACCCCCCTTGTCGCGTTACTACCCTCGAAGAACGTTGATGGTGGTGGAACAGCCACGAGTCGTGGGACGAAGGGGAAGTCCATTTTCTTGTACGTCGCGTGAAGCTGAATTATGGCGTCATCAGTTAGAAATAATGAGGTAACCCGAGGGGGTGGAAAGCAGTGGAGGAGGACACGTCGGCAAAAGTCGCCGGCAGATAACTTATTATTTTGCAATAGATTCCAGATCTCTATTCCGGCCAACTTCCGGTTAAATATCATCGTTTCTGCATCGTCGCTTCCGGTTTTGCTTCCTTCGTCATCATTCTTCTCTATCGTTCGCTCATCTTTAAATCGAAGATGTTTAATCCCGTCGATTTTATGAAATTGGAAGGAGTGCAAGAATTTATTTGAAAAATTATTTGGAAATTTTAATTTTAACGAATATTGTTCGAGATCGAGATGCTTATCTTGGACGTTTAGAGATAATTATTAACAATTTATGGCTATGATAGAAATATCATCCTTTCGTCCGTAAGCGCGACAATAATTATTTCTCTAATTAATCCTGCTAATATTATTTGAATCATGTATCAACCGTGTTTTTGGAAAACACACTTTCCAATTCTTCGATCGGTCACCAACTTCGTTCGAGTAATTTCGATTCAATTTTCGAAAAGAATCCTCCACTGTTGGATCATCATTATTGGCCGATCCTCCTTAAAAAAAGAAATTTCCTTGAAAAAGGAAAAAGAGAAAAAGGAATCCCAATTTCACCGCTAGATTCATCCACATTCCTCGAACGATTCTCTCAATCCTCCAGCCTCCGGAGAAGGTCGTCTTCCCCTCCCTCCCTCGCCGGAATATAAATCCAAAGACGACGCCAAGTCGAAGTAGCATAACTCATCGAAAGAGCATAACTCATTATCCCCCCCGACGGATCTCCTCCTCCACCTTTTCGACTCTAATTCGCGGATAATCCTCTCCTTTTTCATCCTCCCCACCCTCTCCCTTCCCCAACTTCGAACTCGGATCAATGGGGCCGCCGGAAGAAGAAGACTCTCCGCGGAGAGGAAGTCTGCAAGGCCGAATCCTCACAAAGGCCGCCTCTCCCTCGACTTCTTTCCACCAGCCCCCAAGTTCAACCCTCTCCACCTTCCCTCCTCCTCCTCCTCCTCCTCCATTTCCCTCCACACCTGTGAGTGTGAGACAGGGAACGATCGTGAGTTTTGTTCCGTCGACGGATGGAAAATTCACGGATGGAACATTACGTGTAATAATTCGTTCCTACCCGAGAAATTCATCGGCGCATCGGTGATTAATGGCGGCTGCCGAGTTTCTTTCGGCCGAGTTTTCGAGGGTGGGAATCAAAGGGAAGTTTCGCGGAAGGAAAGCGGGTTTTTGGAGAAAGGATATCCCCCCTCCCCCCCCAAACTTTGACGGGGGATCGATTGTCTCGTGAAGGGAGGGGATTTTCGACGAAGGGTCGAAAAGCCTTGGTTTTGTCCTTGAAACTTGCGATTAATCGCGTTTCTTGGTCGAGTGGGGGAGGGGGGGGGGGGAGAAGAGGCTCGATGTAGCTTATTCTCGAGGCTGATCTGATAATAATTTGGTGATTAGGCTCGTACAAAATCGTGTAATATCGTAATGGGTTTAGGCTACTTTGTATCTTGCAGCATCATCTCATTTTGTATAATGTAATGTAAATTTACTTACTGTTGTCGTAAAAATTACGTCTTCGAGGAAACGTGGTATCTATGCAACGAGTGAAAAATTGGTGAAAGCATGATTGAACATTCTCGATCGATCTCGATGCGATTGTTTGATTCGGTTGAAAAAAAAATAGACTCGTTCGATGCAACGGATGTTATACACGGACCATTGTGGACCAAAATGTATGTAAGACGTGTAAAAATATATAAAAAAATGGGAGGGGAAGATATCTGTCTCGTGTTCTGCGCTATTTAGAAAAGGAAAAAAAGTCCACACGATTCTGCAATTTCGAATTTAGATTGAGAAAATTTGGAATTGAATCGACAAGGGGTTGAAAATCACGAGGAGAATCCGTTTAAACCGTGGTTAGAAACGGAAATGTTATTTTAATCGGTATTTCACAGTTCCGGGCGAACGTCAGCGACCACGATGGCTATCGCTGTCGACTGGAAAGGAGCCGGCGTCACCGGCGTTCCAATTCTCGTGGAACAATGGCCTGGACACGAGAGTTAACCAACAACCATCCCCTATTTATGCGACAGTTACGACGATTTATATACGGCGCCTCTCGTCCTCCTCTTTGGCCACCTCTCGTTTATCGGAAACGAGATATGTTCGATTACCATCCTCGATGGACGAAGAAAATTGCCAAGGGACGCTTGTTCCTCGAGCTCGAAACGAGTATTAAACGAATTTTAGATTTATTTTTAGCTTCGATTTTCATCGAATTGAGGAATTGATTGTCAAAGGATGGAGAGGAAAAATTGGTGGAAAGATATTTAAAACAATGCCACCATTGCTTTATCATACGGAAAGAAAAGTTATTACACATTCGCCGATTAGAAAACATCGAAACACGAGTATGAAAATATACTTCGTATAGGCATTTTCTCGGATGATTTCTTCCAAAACCCGTTCACGCTTCAATCAAGAAAAAGAGGAAGAAGAAAAAGAAGAAGAACGTTACATAAAATTTACAAAAACGATTCAATCCTTCCAATTAACTCTTCGCGCGCTTTTCCTTGAAAAAAAAAGGGGAAAAGCGAAAAAGAAGAGGGAATATATTTGCCCGGCCGCGATACCAGTTACGGATATTCGGTTTATTCTCGAACAATGGCGGTTTCGATTCGGATTCTCTTTCGCGAGGAAAAAGTAAGGGGCGGAACAATGGGCCGCCCCTTTATTCAGAATCGCGTTGCCCCGAGTAAACGAGCCCCAGCTCTCCATACCAAACGTTTGGAAAGTCACGGCTATTATCTCCTCGAGTACGTTCAAACATCTTTCTTTCTCCCGCCCATAATATGAAAGAAACAGACGAAAAATGATGACATTTTCTCTTTCCTCTCCTATTTTCCATTTTATTTTCCTATTTCATTACCTTTTTTTGGGGAGGGAGGAGGAGAGAACACTCGTCGTACAGTTCCATCGCACGGATATCGACGAAGCTGGAGGGGGGTAAGTCGAAACGGATGCATATGGTCGGACATAAGGGCTCGATATAATAGGATGGGGTACGTGTATTTCCACGGGTGGAATGGATTCGAGACAGAACGGGACGTTCCATAACCCTGGAACAAGGATACAAAAGGATATGGATGAAGCTTTCAAATAAATTGTAAGTAACAATTCCGTGCCAATATTACGCCCCGCGCGTTATCGATCATCCACGGATATATCCTCTCCTTCTCTATGAAAATATAGTTAAAATTGCACGGCTCGCCGCGGGAGTCACGCGAGTAACGTGAGTCGGAGAAATTAACCCGGGCGAGGATTTCTCACCCGGTGCATTTCTGCATTCCGTGCTCGTGTAACGTGGGATTTTAATCGATTCACGATCTCGATTGGAGAGCAATTCCTCCCTTTCACGGAAGAGAGAGGAGAAATTCGGGAACGAATTTAATGTACACGTAGGTTCGAATCGTTGCGAAGTTCGTTTGAACGTTTCGAGTAGATTTGTGAATTTAATAAAAATACTTTGACCACCAACAACGACAATTATCGTATAACAATTCGCGAAAAATAAAAATAAACTATCAATAATTTTCAATCTACAATTCACTTAACATCACCAAATCGATATCCCCGTCTCTCGGTAACAACATCGAAAAACAACGCCAACTAAAATAAGACGCAACTTCCTTCCTGTTTAATTAATCAACAAGTCTGCACGAATTTTTGTCCAAGCTCGAATGTGAATATAGAAAGATCGATAGAATTCCTATTCCTCCCCGAGGATCGAGGAACGTTTCGAAAACCTATCCCATCCCGATCACGGAGGAGAAGGATTCAGTCGATTCAGCCGGAAGTCGAGACGGGGAGTCGCGATATCCGACGCTTGTCCGACAATGTCAGGATCGAGGAGGAGGAGGAGGAGGAGGAGGAGGAAAGAGAGCTCGAATCGGGCTGGGGCGGTCCAAGACGTACGCTCCAAGTCGGCGGTTCGTTCTATTGTTTAATTTAAGTGCCAAAGTTTAAACCGGGTTAAACGGCGTATAAATTCACCGCGGGTACGCGAGGCCACCCTGGCCTGGCCACTCCACCCACCCTTCTTCGCCCTTTGGCCGCCGAGTTTCGAGGGGGAAGGAGGAGAAGGGAGAGGATGAATCGTGTCGATGGTATCGGTGGAGGAGGACGAGGGGGGGAATACGAAATGGAGCTGTGTGTTTAAGGAGGAGGGGGGCCAGATGTGACGTCACTGCGGCTTCCGGTTCAAGGCTGACGACGACGGTTCCGCTTTGGTTTTTCACTTTGCTGCCCTGTTCGTTATCTGGATTATCTCTCCAGCGGAGAGATTTCTGGAACCGATGCTGGATGAACGGACAGATTCTGGAGATGGGGATTTTGTTGGAGGGATTTTTTTTTGGGGGGAGGGGGAGATTGGCGGTTTTTCATTCGATAATTTGTTTTTCGCTCGAGAGCGCGAGCTTCTCTCGGTTTTTTTTTTATTGATTTATATAATTCGTGCTCGTATTCGGCACGAATTTCGCAACTTCTTTCTCCATTTTCGATTGAACCCGCCTCGAACCTAATTTTTATAAACAAATTGTCATACCCGAAAGCGAAATTTAAAGTTTTTAGGTATGTTGATCTTTCCTACCGGTGTATTCGCTGTTTGCGCACCGCGTTCAATCTCGCTTCATCCTAAAAGTTTTTTGATTTATACCCCAATCTATTCGGATTGCCCGATCTATTTGAATTTTTAAATTCACCCGCTACTTTCGACCTCCACCTCCATCACGCTCGACACTCTGCCTCTCTATAAAATCGGGCTATTAAAAAATATGTATATCGGCAATCCTGAAAATCTGATAATTTTGCCCTATCGCGCGCGTTTCTCTTTCCTTCGAATAATAAAGGGCCTCGATAAATCTTAGAAAGGGAACAACAAAACTCTCGCGGCTTCGACAGGATTATCTCCACGCCGTAATTCACCCGAGTGTGTATACGAAACGTGTAGTGGGAGCGTTGGAGGGGGGCACGTGAGGCGAAACAGAAACGAGGCGAAACACAAGTTATGGGTATCAAGGTTTTGCCCTTTGTCAAGCGGCACCACGCTTGCACGCTCCTCGAGGGATGAGATTAATAGTTACATTAGGGGGATGCGTCAGGCCAGATCCATTCGGGCCTGTGTATGTGGCGCTACTTCCTTAGAAATTAATATTCTAAACAGCCCATTAATTCCGCGGACACGCGAGACTTGTCGCATTAATAATCCAGGGATAATTTGCGCGGATAACAGCTACCACTGTGTTGCTGTTTGGAAAACTGCAACTTGAGCCATTCTCTATACAATTGTGGAATGTGTGTATTCCAATTGGTTTTTGATTTTCGACGAGGAATATTGAAGAACGGCGAAGAATTTATTTTCTTCTAGGATCAGTTTTAGGATCAGTTGAGAAACGATTGCTCCGAAAAGATAACGATCGAATTTCACAGATCGAACAATTTCGAAGTAGAGTAGAAAAGATTCCAAAATTTTCCAAACAAACTCGAAAGCGTTGCGACTACTACTTTCGAAAAGCTATCATAATCAAAGAAAAACAACAGCCCTCCACTCGACTGCTCGAAACACCGCGATACAATTTTCAATATATGGGTAATTTCGACTCCAGTTTCAATCTTATATATATCTCAAAGAGCTTGAAAACGAAGAGCTTGAGCTCGAAGAAGATTAAAAAAAAAAAAAAAGAAAAAAAAGGAAGAGAGAAAGAGAGAGAAATAGTAAAAATAATCGCTGCAATCTCGACCCCAATCTCGATACGAAACATCTAAATAGCGCACAACAGTTCAGAAAAATTCGTCCGACGTTTTAAAACTTCTTCTTCGAGATTCAACGAGATTCCCGCGGAATTTCCACGGAGGAACGTTTCATCTTTATGCAGAGTGTTTTGGAGGGAGGTGTGGTCGAAAGAAACGCGCATAGTTCGAATTTGTAGGGCAGGACACAAAGTGCCTTCCACGGAAATGCCCGTGAAAAGGTTTAAAACGCGCATCCAGGGGATCGTTTGCTCTTCGCCTCCTCCCCCTCCCTCCGTTTCCTTCTTCTTCTTTTCCAACCTCTCGCCCTTCCTCCAGGAAGTGGCAACTTCTTCTTTCGGGGGCAGAAGTCAATCCTTCGAAAATAGCCGCATTCTCATCGGATGCGCTTTGAGACGAGTGGTTTCTCGCTGTCATTGTTTGGCCCACCCTCTCCAACGGGATTCATCTTGGAATCTTGGATCTTTCTTTTCGATTCGTATCGATCAGAAGATGTCGCACGCGTCGTTTAAAAATAATAGATAATTTTTTCGCGGAAATTTTAAAAAAGCTTCAAATTTAAAGCTTATTATATGTAACCTTTTAAAATTTGCTTTACAATTTTTCCTCAATTTTTCTTTGTTTTGTTTTTTTTTTTGGAACGCTCGAACAATGGAATCTCTTAATTAAGAGAAAGAAATAATATAAGCCAATTATTTTATTTCCTCGAAATTGTTTCCAAATTCTTGTGTGTTTCGTCGGAATCGAAACGAATTTCTCAACGCGATCGAAGTTTCATCGTTAAAAATAAAGGAAGCGAAGACTAAGGCGTGAAAGGGGAGGCGAAAATAAAAGAGGTGGAAAAAAGTTTTCTTACATAAACGGGGGAGCAGCCAATAAAAATAGCAGCGAGGTGGCTCGATGATTAAACGACTTGGTCGGTTTCCTTTTTTGCGTGGCGCCTCATTGTTCCGGCCAGTTCGCGGAACCGTGCCAGACTTCAAACGAACCAGAGACGCCGCCATTTTTGAGTTTATCAAACAATAACACTTGGCGAAGTAGCTTTCAACACTCGTCGAACCTCCACGGCCCTCTTCTGTATTTCCTCTTTCCTTTCTTTCTTCCCTTCCCCTTCCGCCACTCCATCATCGTGCACGGGGCGTTGCGAATCTTCGCGCCTTGGAATTCTTCGTTTCTACAAAGAGTTTGTATTTCTTTCTCCCTCGATGATGAAAAACAATTGAAACGTTTCTCGGGAAATTTTGTATAATAAATGGAATTTTTTTTTTTCTTCTTCTTCTTCGAAGATTCGATGCCGTGTAACTTGATTTATTCGTGACGCGCTTCTGACGTATTTTTTTTTTTTTTTTATTATTGGAACTGCGTCGAAGATCACTTTTTCGAGTACTCGCGAAAATGTGTATGTTTAACGTATATACACGAATATTATGTTCTCGGTTTAAAACGAAATACGGAATTTAGGAGGAAATATTTTTTCCCCTCGGGAATATTCTCGCAAATTTTTAATATCATCCAACGTTTCAATGCTCGTATTATCGATATTAAAATACCCTCCGTTACATTACCAACAGCAATTAACATAGAGGATATTAATATATTTTCGCATTTTTTAATTATGATCGACAATTTCGGGCGGAAATAAAATCAAACCGAATTTGCATTAACATGTAAACGCCTCCTCCTGTTCGTAATAATGCGATACACGCGCGATTCGATCTCATCGAAAAAAATAAAATCGATCTTTCGTTGATTACAACGCGTGAACCATTTAACCAGAGCGATTAATTTCGATCGAGATCTCGTGCGAAGAAAAACTAAACATACCACGCTTTTCAATTATTAACCAACGATACATCGATATATCAATTGCTCGTTCGAGCTAATAAAAATTCCAAATTTCACATCTGCTAAACACTTCGTTTTCCTGCGTCGAAGCGAAGAACGAAGAGATACAAAGCGCGGCATTCGCAAATTTCGAGGAGATTTCAATTTGCGCGTAGCCTTTACAAAGAGAGAGAGAGGGGGGGGGGAGGGGCGCGAATTTTTCATAAAATAAGCATTCGAAACAAAGGATTTTCCATTTTTCATCGACGTTCAAAGGAAATCGCGACAACGACGTTTCGCCGCCCTCTTCTGAAACGAAACACCGGCCACACGTGCGCTTTGTCCGATTTTCAGACGAGAGTAGAGGGGGAGGGAGGAATCCCTCAAAGAACGAAACCTTTTCGTTCTTGTACGCGAAACGTGCTAACTCGGATCGCGGATACGATAGAAACGAATCACGTGGCCGTCTCAGCTGACACCGATGATTGCAGGCACGTGAGCAGAAGGCCAAGGAAGTCGAGGAAATATCCCTTTCGTCCTGTCTGTTTCGAGAAATGGATCCCCAACTGGATCAATCAAATCCCGAACGAGACACGTTATTGCTTCCTCTCTTTTTTCCTCTTTACGATTTCTTCGATCGATCGATGTATTCTTCGAGCTATTCTCCTCTTCTCGCTCTTCTCTTTTCGACGATGATGATGGCTATGAGGGTTTTCTTTATCTTTTACAGGCAAGTACGGGTATTATTTATGGAACGAGATCACGATTCGAAGAATCTAAATCTTATCAGGGGATAAAGAAGAAATATAGATTTCGTGAAAATTTGATTGCTAGTAAATAAAACCGCTGAAATTTTCTCGATTGAATTTGTCAAACAAAAAAAAAAAAAAAGAAATGTTATTCTCGTAAGGAAATCTCTCTCTCTCTCTC